TTGTCCTCGCGTGAGAGGTCTGGAATGCCAGAGAGTGCATATCTGTCTGTCTGTCTCCTCCTCAACCACAAAAGACTTTGAGCTCCTTTGAGAAAGAAGCTGTGTAAATGCACCACAATGACAGCAGTCATCATTGCCACCAAGGTGTAGATCTGGCGAAGGGTGGGTCTGCAGTCATCATGGGGATGGAGCAGCAGGGTCCCCAGCTGGCCCCTCAGGCTTAGTCGGTTCAGGCTTCCAAGAATCCCAGCTGGTTAGGGAGTCAGGATCCACGAGATATCTTTTCAGGTGGGTACCCTTCAATTAGTATTGCTGAACCGGAGCCACTGCCTGACCTCCTCTTGGGACAGTCTCAATCTTGACAAGACTGGTTCTTGGACACTAGTAAGTATCAAAACCACCTAGAGAACTTGTTAAAACAAAATTTCTGAGCCCTACTCCCAGAATCTCTGATTCACTTTGTCTAACCCAGGCCCTAAAATTTGCATTTCTAACAAGTTTCCAGGTGATGGCGATGCTGCTGGTTCAGGACCCACACTTTGAGAACCACTGCTTTAGCAAAAAAAAAAAAAGAAAAAGAAAAAATTAATACCCAGCATTCAGAGAGACAAACCTCCAAAGCCGACAGAGCTGCTGGACCTCGGGGCCTGCTCCAGGGTCCCGGGCCATGCTTGTGGTCTGGCCTCCATAGAAGGTGTCACCAGCTGAGGTGTTGAGCTGTAATCATTGTTTTTCTTCCAGAAGTGTGCTCAGTAGACTGTGGTACTCACGGCGTCTGCATCGGGGGAGCCTGCCGTTGTGAAGAGGGCTGGACAGGCGCAGCTTGTGACCAGCGCGTGTGCCACCCCCGCTGCATTGAGCACGGGACCTGTAAAGATGGCAAATGTGAATGCCGAGAGGGCTGGAATGGTGAACACTGCACCATTGGTAGGCAAACGGCAGGCACCGAAACAGGCACATATTGCTTTATTTTCATAAATCGTAGATCTATAGTGACGGTCGCGCATTGCAACTGGCTGTTCCTTCAGGGACACAAGTGCTCTCCAACATTCCTGCTGCCTCTCCAAATCTCCAAGGGGATAGGGAAAGGGAAAAGCAAGGTCCCTAATTGGAAAAGGCTTTCCCTTCTTTTCAAGATTCCAGCTGGGAGCAAAGGGGCCAAACTACATAAGAAAACCCATCCAAACTACTGCCCTTGGGGAGGGAGAAATGCACATGCATGGGAAATTGTCAGTGCCTGGAGGTTTCAATCACTCCAAATCACTGTGGTCTGCAAGCCTTCCCTTTACAAATACTCTCTCAGCTGGCTGGATCACTGGATCCCTGCTTGCTGACAACAATGGGAACTCACTTATTTTCAACCAGGCTAGGTGTAGGCAGGACTCCCAGGTGTCCTGGTTAGCCAGCTACTACTGTAATAGGCTTGAACAAGGCTCCATAGCTGGGTTCCATCGCTGGGCTTCTGACCCTCACCGTCCCCACAACCACCATCAAATATCTGCTCCTCAGGCCCATTTCAGTCTCACTCAGCCACCTCCCTGTATAAGCTTCTTGACCAAGATTTTTTTTTCCCCAAAGACCACTTTCATTGTTAAGAAGGAATCATTTGGAAGTGTCTTCATTTTTGTTTTTGTTTGATTTTTGTCATTATCATGGTTTGGGATAGGACGATACTGGAGTAAATGTACCTAGTTATCTCTTTGACAGAGGAGTTAGCAGTCAGCGCTTATCGGCCTTCCACATTTCTCAGACAGTCGGGGTTACAAAGTTGTCAACCTGAGCATCATTTTACCAAAAGTTTGTGCTTTTGTTGTTTCATTAGGTCAAGCCTAGTATCCATTTCATGCCAAGCTGGCTCAGGGAAGTTTCCAACCAAACTACCGTTTGCTCCCTCGAAGTTCCCTTTGCTTCCGGCCATCAAGTTTAAGACCCTCGCCTCTGTGCTAGCCCAAAACCCCCAGCCACAGATGGTCCACCTGGAGTGAGAGACAGGGTTAGGAGCTTGCCAGGGCTGACTCATGAGATTGGACTCAGTTTCCCATGCTGTTCATTTGGTGGTTAAGCAGAGATAAAGTGGACTGACTCTGCATTTGATTTCCCCCGGTTCCATCTAATTGGGTATCCGAGGGGCAGCATGCCAATCAGGGCCACAACCATAGCACCGGGACCCTGCTGGGACAGTCTGTTGGCAGTGAATTGTTTTTGCAATCTCGATGACGCTCCAGGACCTGCTTCCCCTGCAGCCACTCTCATCTTCAGTTCCCTGCAGAGTCTGAGGGATAATTCAGAAGACTTTCAAGGGTGGGAGGGGAGATGTGCACAGCCCAATATCAACACAGTTCTTGCAATAGCTTCCACTCCTCAGGGGCATTCCTCTCAATGTACTTCTGCATGCCCGGTGTGATTTAAATACTTTCCTCAGTCCCATATCTCCATTGCCCCTAATCCCACCCCCCTCCAAAAGCTCTTGCCAATCAATAACCTTTAGGTAGGTAATTCCACTTTTAATTCATACAATACAACCTCCCTCCTCTTTGCTCTCCCCTTCCCACATGTGTAGGGAAGAGGGGCAGAGTTAGTGTTCCCACAGCGATGCCCGCTGGCTCTCTCCTACCTACAACCTGTCTTAACTCTGCCAATAGCTCACAAGAGAGCAGTCCAGATGGATTAGAGCAGGAGTTGGCAAACCACGGCCCAGGGGCCAAATTAGGCCTGCTGCCTGTTTTTCTATGGCTTATAAGCTAAGAATAGTTTTTACATTCTTTAAAGGCTGGAAAAAATCCAAAGAAAAATATTTCCTGACACGGGATAATAATATGAAATTCAAATTTCATTGTCTATGAACAAAGCATTATTATGGGACAGCTACACCCATTTGTTGATGTCTTGTCAGTTCCCATGCTACATCTTGGCGTTGAGTAACTGCAACAAACACTAAATGGCCCACAGAGATATTCGTTATCTGGACCTTTACAGGAAAAAAAAAAAAAAATTGGCCGACCCCTCCATTAGATGGTTGCACAAGTCTTGATGGAAAGAGGAGAGAAAAGGAAAACAGGTCAACACAACCATTAGAAAAAGGACACCAATGTGGCTTGAAGGACATTAGGGGCCAGGAGAAAGGGAGAAGTCCAGACATCACAGACTGTGAGTGGAGAGAAACAATAGATGAGTTTAACTCATCTATTTGGTCTCTAGAGAATGGGGAGGATATGGCCAACAAGAGAATACAGGTGTCTCCGTCAAGCTAGCCCTTTGGGTGACATGAAATGAAAAAAGGTGTTTCTGCTACTTGAAGTGTTTGGTTCAAGTTTCACATCTCTTTGAGCTTACAAATGAGAGTTCTTGAGAGACAAAGAGAAAATTCAAATTGCTATGCCAGGTAAAGCTCCCAAAGTAAAGAGAGTGCTGGTGCAGGAAAGTCTCTTGTTCAGAACTGTGATTCCTTGTGACCTGGTAGAGTTTGTGCTGTGTAAGCTATAAAGATCTTTATCAGCAAAATCTTTTCTTGTGAGAAATTAGGGCTCTGTGGTCTTATTAGTAGGACATGTGCCATCTTCGGGTTTTCTGAAAAAAAAAAAAAATGCCAAACATACCTTGATATTTGCTATTCAAAAACTAGAGAAATGTTCATACGTGCATAATCGCTGCTTCTGCTTTTCAACCTCTGGCCCCCAGAGCTGTTTCATGGAGTTTTAGTCTTTCTATTTGAGCAGACACTCCTGTCATTTTCTTTTAAGTAAATGCCACAATTTACAAGCCCGGAATCAGTCCTCCTCCTTGGGGATACTGACAGTCAGAAAGAAAAGAGAGGCTCTTTGGTCTTTTCCAAACAGAGCCTCAAGTGCTATATCTTGAAAATGGAAAATAAATAAGAATGAAATGGCACCTAGTCAGCAAACAATGCTTTGGGAAATTTGGGGTAAGGCAGAATTATGGGTGGTTAGTGTTGGTACTTGGGTTGTCTGTGGCCTATTTTCAAAAGCTCATAGTGAGGCGGTATTCTTGGGGTCTTTGCAAATGGTCAACTGAACAATTCACATTAGCACTTGTGGATTACATTTATTGTACCAAAGGAAGCAAGAAGATAGATGGGGGAGAAAAGGATGAGGATAAAAGCACAGACTTCTAAAACTCACACATGTTGAAGCACCAGGATCTATCCATGTCTGGCCAAATGTGTTTCTGGAATTTGCAACCAAATCATTTATATTTAGAAATTTAGTACATATTGCTAAAGATTTAAATATAAGATATAAGATTTCAGTGTTAACTCTTAGAGCTAACTTATCAGCAGACTGGATTCTACCAAGCAATGATTCTTATATTACTTCTTTTTAACGAGTTGAATACAAAGAATGGCTAAAATCTACAGAACTGAGTAGATAAGAAATATACTTTGAATCCACATCAACTGCAATTATTGTGTATCTTTGGAACATATTAGCATTGTTTGGATAGGCTACAGTTACTTTTATGAATAACTAAGAAGGCACATTGTGTGGTTAGAAGAGTTTTATTCTTTAAACATAGTGTTAAAATGGGTTGTCGTTCTTATCTACCAACACCACCAGCACTCCTTATTAATACTGGGTATTTAATGTCAGAAGGCCGTCCAAAGGCTGTTCAGACCATGGCAGGAAGAAACTATAGTATTTTTATTAGGTGAAAATCACTATGAACTATAGTAAACTTAGATAAGCGTCTAAGAGATTATAAAGAGATAAAGTAGATGTTTGCATGTTTTGCAAAAAGAATAGTTGGACAAAATACAAGGAGCAACCAACATTTATATTGCCAGAGAATGCAAGGAGGGAAGCTAAATGCTAATTTTGGACTGTTGTGATTATCTCCTGAACGTGGGCTGTCTAGACATCCACTCTGAATAATACAAACTAACCCACAGACTAAATCTACCAACACTGGGCACTTCCTGACCGTGGGTGAACTATTTAAGATCTGGGTGCTGAGCAGTGTCTACAATGCTTATTTCAACTTGTGTATTTTTTCTGTGTGGTCCTGACCTCCGATTGCATTTCAGAATCATGAGGACTTGATTCCGAGGATCGTGTGGGGCTGAGTGACCTGCCCAGGTGCCACAAAACAGAACAGTTTTCTTTTCTCTCTATTGCACTGAGCCCTTCTATTTTTCCTCTTTAATTGGTTAGGGAAAGAAATAGGTTCTTGTGATGTTAATAAGGAAAATGAATCTTTACCCAAGGTAAAACCAGTCGTGCGACAATCTGATGTGCTGATTAAGTGATTGTCATCAGAAGTAGACAGGGTCACAATCCAAGAGGGAGAGAGCTCTGGAACAACAGGGAACAGGATGGGAAGAAAGCGACTGTCAGAACGAACCAGCTTCAGGCTGAGGACAGCTGCTCCTGCATCTCACCCCCTTTCATTCTTAGTTAGGGAAATTTTTTTTTTCTTGTAGGTGTTGTCCTTGAACACTTGAGCTTTCATAACTCTACAATGAGATCAAGTTGAGATGAAATTAGCCACTGTGGAGCCATCCTTACTGCCAGGTCTATGGAAGCAGCGAATTCTCTGATTGGTTAATTAACCTATTCCTCCAGGGGCCTTTGTTGGAATTATCCTTGGAGTTTTGTTTTGTTTTGTTTTGTTTTTTAAGTGAAAATCTGAAGTGATAGCCTTTCACTGTTAAAGATTATGGACAAACTTTTTTTTTTGGCTTAAACAACAAATATTTATTTCTCACAGTTCTGGAGGCTGGAAAGTCCTAGACCAAGGTACTCGCAGATTCGGTGTCTGGTGAGAACCCTCTTCCTGGTTTGCAGACATCACCTTATGGACATACTTTTAGCA